GATTTTCCGGAAAATCCTGATAGGATGGAGGAAAATGAATAGCATTTTCCGACTCAGCGTAAAAAAGTACATAGGAAACACCTACCATATGTTGAGCTTCGTTTTCGGATGCAGACGTACGTAATTATTTGGGATTTTTCACAGTCATTTTACCCTTTTTTTAGCGTTTTCTAGATATTTTAGTTGTTTCGCCGCTTTAACGAGGGGTAAAAAATTTTTTTGAAGTGTCTAATACATGTTTTCCCACTTAATTTTTCCTGCTGAAGCCGAATATGACCTCAGATTTTTTCTAGAAATTACACATTTTTCGAAAAATGGATTATTCTGGAAAAATGTGTTTTTCAATGTAAAATCCCATATAAAAAAGATGGCTCTGTCGGCACGGGTTAATATTATCCGATTTGGCTGAAACTTGGCAGAGAGTGTTTTTTGATCAAATGGAACAGTTCTAGGGGGTAAGACCAAAAAAATTCTGACATTGCCAAATTTGGGCCACCCTACTGCTCTACTGATCATTTCACTAAGGTGTTCAGTGTGCAAACCAGGGCCTCAGTTCATCCTTATACTTTTGACTATAAATACAAATTAGAATTATCATATTCTGTTTCCATAAATAACGTAAAGTTACACTCATTAAACCCCACAATGAAATGAGTTTTTAAAAATGCATAAATAGTTCACAACAGCACAAACTAACAAATCGTCTTTCAGATGTAAATGGCAAAAAAAGTTAAAATGAGTGACATTTAATGATGTGTTTTTCCAAGCACCTCAGACCCGCTGATCAATTTCAACAATTGCTTCAGCGTTAAAACACCTTGAAGGAACAAATTGGTATAACTCAAGATAACATCAAAAAGGCGCAAAATGCTTCACAGAAATTGTGATTGTTGGTGTCGCTTTCAAAAATCACTGTTTTGGACCTGGTGGCGGAGGAGCTTGATTCATTCGTTCTTGACTTTGATTCATGCGTTCCTTGTTTATTCGACTGATCCTGTCTAGCTCCATCACCCTACTCCGAACATGTTCAAGTCTGTGCCACGCCATCTGCAGGACTTTCTGAGAAGCGTAGCCTGATCCTTCATGAGGTTGACCTGAAAGAAAAAAGAACTTAAGTAACCATGCCTACTATATTTCTAGGGGAAGAATTGCTGACTTCTTAAAAAAAATACTTATTTTGAAATCGAACAATCCATGTGCCAACTTCAATGAAAGCTGGGCTGAAAAGTGAGATTTTCTGCATTTTTATGCACAATATCTGGTTAGAAATGTGACAAAATCTTATCAACAATTGAGGAGATCTTTTACTTCCTTGCAGGCAAGGAAGACAAGACACAAAAAGAATTAGATTCCCCTATTTCCTAAACAGTGAGAGCAAGCGTAGCAGCATCCACACAAACACAGCAAAAATCCCTCATTCCCATGAGAAAACTTAAACAAAAGGGCTGAAAAAGTCACTTTTCAGTCCTACTATGAGAGATCAACATTTAAAAAGCTCATAAATTTAGCCCAGAAGGTCAAGAGGAACAATTCTGTCAAAGTAAAATCAATTTCACTTGAAAAAAAAGGGGAAATAAATGAAAATCATTTGAGATGTTACAAAATATCTTTCAAAAAATTGTATAAAATTATCAGAGGAGTATTGAAGTGTTAAAGTAAACAGTAATTACCTGTTGACACTTGAGTTAGGTAGTTGATTTGTTCTGTTAGTTTAGATTCAACACTGTTCAATGTTTTAAAGAACTGATTTGTCTGCGTTTCTGCCTGTTTCACACTTGACTTGTTCTCTTTACTCAGTTCAGAGAATGCAGCTCCTGAAACCAAAATTTGCACTCAAAGATAGTAATATAACTCAAAAAACTGATTCACTAGAAAATTTGTAGGTGTATTATAATCTCTCTTCTAGGGTGCCACAACATCCTAGTTGCATCTTTCAATTATCATATCACACTGTAGGAGGTAAAGCGAAAAAAAATCTGCGCTTCAGGCAATCTTCATTGAGCTATGAGAAAAACAAGACAATCATTTTATTTTCTCAGAATCTTATGAAGGGTTTATTTGAAAGCTGTAATACATTACTAAAACGGCCATTTTCTTATTAAACATCTACCATAATTCTTCATACCCAAGTAGCAAGGATACCTATAGATGGACATAAAATCGTAGGAATGTTGCTATATTATATTTGCCATGCGTATTGCCTATAATCGTAAAAGTCCAATAATCGTAAGTCCAAGAGTCCAGAAATCAAGAGAGAGAGATGTGGTCGAGCCGAGGCTCTCGACCAGAGTCCTGTTCTCGCTGAGCTGAGGCTCCTTCCAAGCCCACAGATCACGTCGATAAAGTTTATCAAAAAAAGTTAATGAGCGCAATTTAGATAAAGAGTTAATCTCCTTATCTAAATATCTCATCTCACCCTTACCGAAAAAGACGGCGCCCACGTCGTCGTAAAAAGAAAGATACTTTATACACAATAAAAAGAAGGGTGGTGAGTTTGGCTGAAGGCCACGAAAAATGAAAACAATTGATAAATGAAGGGGAGGGGCAAAAAGAAATACTTGAATTAAAAAAAAGTTAGAACGCCAAAAAAAAATTACATGCTAAACTGAAAATCTGTAACAAATAAATAGAATAACAATGGAAATCATATTAGACGCTTTAAAAATTAAGAATCCAGAATTACAACAAACAATAAAAAAAAATTTTGAACTTTTACAAGTGCAAAAGAATAAAATATATGTGATTCAGATGATGCAGTGCCCAGTGCCTTTTATTGAAATTAATTAAAATGAAATTTATTCAAAATCTATTAATATTAGTCAGAGTTGAACGCGTACTAGTCCAGAGAGTTACATTAAAAGAAAAGTTCCAAAAAAAGTAATAATTTCCACAATTTTAAAGCAGAATTTTATAAAAAATGAAAGCTCATAAAAATTAAAATCAAAATTGAAATAAGATCTGCTGCACTAGAGTTAGTGAAATGCTCCAAACTGAGCTTGCTCAAGAATGAGGCTCAAAGAATGAAAAAATTATCACAAAAATATGGCAACCAAAAAAAATTCAATATATATTTGACATAAAAGTCATTGAAATAAAAGTCATAGTAAAAAGAACTAAATTTACGAAAATAAGTAAATTTACGGAGAAATGATGTAAATTCTGGCATGATAGAAATCTTGATATGATAGGTTGAACGTAAGAGGGGTTGGAGTTTGGTTTGTGCTACACAATTATTTTTCTGCACCATGCGAGTGAAAGTCGAGGCCATAGAATTTAAAATAATTGAGCAGAGAGTTATTGAAATTTAAGTTTTTACCTATTCTTATAAAACTGCGTGAAGATAATAAATGTATACTTTTGCGCTGTCCGTGAAAAAGGATGCCATAGATCGATACATTTGAATCTGTTTCAAGGGATGCATGTCACTATCCCATTCACAATTTTACAAGAATGGTTCAAACATACCGGAGTTCAACAGAATGAAGAAAGCCACTTTAAGTCTTTTGTAATTTGCCATAGTAATACTTTGCGCTGTTCCTTTGAAATGGATGCTCATGATTTATTCCTCCGGCAAAAGTTACAAAAACTTTACAACGCATAAAGCGAGGGAACCTAACGAAGGATGTGACTCAGGAAAAGAAATCAACGCAACACCACAGTCATTATTCCGAGAAGATACCTTCCGAAGCAGAAAAATTGATCAGATTTCTCGTTTTCGGGTGAACGATCAATCCCAGAAGCAGGGTTACTGACTTAACAATTCCCTTGCGAGTCATCACAATACGATCTTATGCAATCCTTTGACTGCTGATTCAAAAAGTAGGTATTTAAACTTCTGAAACCATATAAAATTATTTAAAGAATTAAAATTTTAGCGTTGTGTTGTCACAACCCTTGCATAATCAGAATAAAGTAAGTAAGAGCTAAAAAAGAAAATTACAAAAGAAGGGAAAAAAAAATATCGAAATTGAAAAAGGAAAAGCTCAAAGGCATATCCACGTAGAATTGAAGAATAGTTCAAGAAAAGATAGCAAAAAGTGAATAAAAGTAAACAAAATTGATTAAGTTTAAAAGAGAGAAACTAAGAAGGCTTCATTTTGTAGGAAAATTAAATTATATGAACATTATGCAAGCATAAGTAAATAGTTAAGAAAAAAAATTTAAAGTTTATTATCAAAAATGAAAATCAACAAATTCAGGTCACTGCAAGTAACGGAAATCGTCACGTAACACAGGTTCGATCTAAATTTTTATCAAAAACTAATTGCGTTTGATTACTGACTATAGATTTGGATCAATTTTTAAAGTGATGGGTTCAAATTGCATTGCAATAAAAGTAAATTGGACTTTCCTGCTTGAATTAGAGTTTCATAACAAACCGCAATAAAAAAGATCGTTATTTTATCACTGTAAAAACGAAATTGCGTAAGAACTCTCAAAAAATGGTTCAGGCGGAAATTACCGTAATTATTAAGCTGAAACAACAACTTAATTTTAATTACTTGTTTGCAAGATGTTCAGATTTTACTTATAGATTTCAAATAACTCAAAAACCAAACTGAAAAAGGGACTTGAATTTCACCAAGTAAAAATTGAATAAAACGAAAAAAAAAGAGAAATACCTAGTCTTTTGACTACGAAAAAGGTATTTTACGTCGAAACCAAGCTTAAGAAAAAGCAAAAGTAGGTTTTCACGACATAGAGCGAGAAAATTGGAAAAAGAAATTCCAAAAATAAATAAGACTTAGAGAAGCCAAGAATAAATTTCAACCGATCATAAAATCAAAATTTCTATATCGAAACAACTCTTTACATGATTGACACAGCTATTTTATCTTTTAATAAGAAACTAAGAAAAGAAAATCAAAATAAAGAAAGAAAAGAAAATTGAAATACTGTTTTGCACTTTTAAGCTCAAAGGCTTTATAAAAATTACTTAAAATAGGATTCAAATATCCATTTATTGACAACGAAAGTCTAACAAAAAGTAATGCACGCAAGATCAAAATTCTGCTGGCTTAGCAATTTTACACTGGAAAAATATTACGTTTGAAAACAAAACTAGAGCATAAGTAACTTGAAAAACTCATGAGTTTACATTCACACTGTGAGCTCAAAACATTCATACGGAAAAGAGATGAATTTTTCAAGAAAAATTGTTGTAAAAGTTTGAAGAGCAAAATTTTAAACGGGTTAATTGACCAAAACGTAAGACAAACCACGTTTGGCCCATCAAATATAAGGAAATTAAGGCAAGAATGAATTTACTTTTAAAAAAGTAAGCCAGTGCAGATTTGATCCGCGATGTTCTGATTTTACGCGTATGAACTTAGCATATTGCGTTTTATTCAGAAAAACAAGTATTTTTTTAAAGTTGTGTAAGTTTCACAGAACTTAAGTAACGAATGTCTCAAAATTATTGAAAAACGACAAATTATGTTACTGAAACTTACATATTTATAAAAATTCATAATAAAAGAAAATTAAGTGCAAAAAGTTAAAACAGTTTACAAAAAGCTAGGAGATTCAAATTTTACAATCTCACAAATATTTAAAAGCTTTATATTTAAGAAAACGACTACTGTCAAAGAGATTAGCCATTTACACCGGCGCTAACTCAGAAATATGACTTTTGAGTCTCAAAAATATTATGGCTCTCAAATGGCCTTTAACAAAAATAAATTGACACCATTCCCTAAAAGAATATATTGGGTCATCAAAAAACCAGTTTTATACAAAGCTTGGTGGCCACGAAAATATAATTGTTCTGAAACTCTTGTTCTCCAATCCAATGCGTGCAATTGTCACTCAGTGAATTACTTGTCTTACCGCAAATGTTTGATATTCGACAATTGTCACTCAGTGAATTACCAATCTTCTAGAAATAAAATGTAATTCTTAGATTAATTGTCACTCAGTGAATTACTTAATCATGGAATTACTAACATGCATGGGCCAGTTGTCACTCAGTGAATTACCTGAAACCCAGCAAGTAAAAGAAAATCAAATACCATTTTGTCTGTTGGGATGTTGTCACTCAGTGAATTACCTAACCCTCACCAAAAATGGAATAAAAAAAATAATTTTTGCCTGTTGGGAAGTTAGCACATAGCGAATAACTATAACCCTCACAAAAATGTAAAAAAAAAGAAGACTTTTTCGTCTGTTGGGCAAAACCCTCACAAAAAAGTAATAAAATAAAATAAAAAGAGCAATCTACAGGCTCGTGGGATCCCTAAAAATGTAGAAAGAGGAGTTGCATATGACATGGGTGGCCTTTCCCTATCGCTAACATTCACTCTTCTACGTAGATTTTATCACGGCACTAAAAATGGCCTTTGGCACTAAAAATGGCCTAGGATGGAGGTCCAAGTGTTTCAAGAACAAGAAAATAGCTGGTCTAATCAAGAGGTTCGATTTTATACAAATTAACAAGAGAAAAAAGAAAAATTTAAAAGTCTGTATTTCACAAAGTAGCAAAACTTAATAAATTAATCTCTGCTGGAACTAGTAGCGGTAACGAAAATTAAACTGCGTTCTAAAAATAAGAGGCCTGTTTCACACGAACAAAAGCACTCAAATTTAGACGAAAAAATAACGCGTTTAAATAAAACTAAAAATTGACTAAAGAAAGAACATTAATTTGCTATGCGAACATAAGAAAACGAGAAATGAAAATTTGACTAAATTATTGTCGCAAGCAAAAATAAACGAAATTAGAAAAGCAAATCGACGCATTTCAAAATACAAAAAATCGACGCATAAATTTTAAGCATAAAAAAAAAGTTTTTAAACTACACCTCGTAGATGTTGCAATGGCTGCCCAGAGACACAGCAATACCCACAAACTGTAGTGGACTGGCATTATTTAATAAAAAAAAGTTTAGGCACTCAACAAAAAGAATAAAAAAATCCTGTAAGGGCACTGAATCACTGACAAGTTAACAAGAATGAAACAAAAGATTAATCGCAAATCAAAATTCAATGATACAAAAATTCAGAAAGATATTTTAATTGTCATATTTCAAAATTATAACGCCTTTAAATCCCTTCGATCGTATTTTTAGAGAAACAAAGTGAAAAATAAAAGCATGTTAAAAAAAAAAAAGCATTGAAATAAAATTCAAAAAGCTGGAAAAAAAAGAAAAATTAAAGGTTCTTCAACAAAACAAATTGAAGACCGAGGTTTCGGCACCACTTGTGAAGATGCGAAACTATTAAAAAAAGTTACTGGTTCTATTTCAAAAGAAAAAACAATTTGAAAGACGGGTTTCGGCACCACTTGTGAAGACCACCATTTGCAATGGGAGAAATAAAGCAGAAGGCTCATTGAGATGGTCATCCTTCCTTCAGAGATAAACCCGATTTCATATAAGGCGTAATTTTATAATTTTACGACTTATACTCTTACATGAAATCAAGTATTATCACTGGAGGAGCGGTGGTAAGATATAATTGACGAAATACCCTGAAATTCACCCTTAAAGTGAAAATCCAAGTATTTGGACAATTATACCTGCTGAAATGCAGTGGGAGAGCAGAATCAGAAAACTGATTGAAAATAAAAATTTAAAAATTCAAACATTCATGCTTTTTACGGGTATTACGATCGGGATTATTCAAATTGAAAAAATACAAGGAGATTGGCGTTTAACAAATTTTATTACTTAATGAATTTTGAAAAAGGTTGAAAACGTCTAATATGACAAGCTATCAAAAGAATAAGAAAGGTCTTTCGACGATTCACCGAGATGTCCGGGGTTTTCCAAAGTCCAATAATCGTAAGTCCAAGAGTCCAGAAATCAAGAGAGAGAGATGTGGTCAAGCCGAGGCTCTCGACCAGAGTCCTGTTCTCGCTGAGCTGAGGCTCCTTCCAAGCCCACAGATCACGTCGATAAAGTTTATCAAAAAAAGTTAATGAGCGCAATTTAGATAAAGAGTTAAGCTCCTTATCTAAATATCTCATCTGATAAAAATGACCACTAGATCAGTGCTAAAATTCCAGCTGATTGGTTAAAGTTTATACCGATCTCAACTGACGTCAGTGGGAGATTTAACTAATGTCAGTTGTGATCAGGTGAAGATTCAATAGTTCTACTGCAATTCTGACACTGCTCTACTGATCATTTCACTAAGGTGTTCAGTGTGCAAACCAGGGCCTCAGTTCATCCTTATACTTTTGACTATAAATACAAATTAGAATTATCATATTCTGTTTCCATAAATAACGTAAAGTTACACTCATTAAACCCCACAATGAAATGAGTTTTTAAAAATGCATAAATAGTTCACAACAGCACAAACTAACAAATCGTCTTTCAGATGTAAATGGCAAAAAAAGTTAAAATGAGTGACATTTAATGATGTGTTTTTACAAGCACCTCAGACCCGCTGATCAATTTCAACAATTGCTTCAGCGTTAAAACACCTTGAAGGAACAAATTGGTATAACTCAAGATAACATCAAAAAGGCGCAAAATGCTTCACAGAAATTGTGATTGTTGGTGTCGCTTTCAAAAATCACTGTTTTGGACCTGGTGGCGGAGGAGCTTGATTCATTCGTTCTTGACTTTGATTCATGCGTTCCTTGTTTATTCGACTGATCCTGTCTAGCTCCATCACCCTACTCCGAACATGTTCAAGTCTGTGCCACGCCATCTGCAGGACTTTCTGAGAAGCGTAGCCTGATCCTT